TCATATCCTCTTTGGAAGGAATAGATTCTTAGCCATATATATAGTAATTTTGGTTGTTCATAAGCATTTTTAAATCACTCATTTCATTATTCAACACAAGATTGACGACATCTAAATCACTCATTTCATTAATTCATCAAATTGACAACAAAAATTCACTATATCGGCTCTCTGTTGTCCTATTATGAGCCACTGTGCCGCATCGTTTGCATTTCATAGGCCTGGTGATGGGCTGTTCAGTCTCAGATCTTTTTCTTTGTTTTTTTGGTCTACCAAAAAAGTGTGTCGTCCTTGGTGGCAACACTATACGGTTGAACATACCAGTCAACTCAATATCATCCGGGACAAGCCCAAAAGGAGTTTGACATGCCTTTTTAAATGTTTCAACTGTGAAATACTGAAGGCAGTACGCTGTGGGATCGAAATGCATATGGTTAATAACTGCAATTGGGTGAGTACACGGTATGCCACTCAGTTGCCATTTTCTACAACTGTATGTCCAATGAGTTAAATCGACAGCATACTTCTTCCCAAGATAGTGGATTTTCAAGCTGTGTAGATATAGCATATATAACTGTATGCAAAAATCTAGCCTTCATCTTTCGCAAGTCCAGTAAATCTTGGGCTTTTGGTACTGGCAGGCTGCTCCAAATATTACCCAACTCCCTATTTTCTTCAAACCTGGTCATCAACTGTATCCTTATTTCTTTACACATTGTAATGATCGGCTTATCTCGAGTAGACATTATCCAAGCATTGAATGACTCTGGTATATTAGAGGTAAGATGATTGTATCATGTCCTTGGAAAATAAGCATCTGCCCAATATTTTGGAGGGATATTCTTAATCCACTAATATTCCTCTGGGTAGACACACTGTATGTCAAACATAATTTTTTCAAACCCACTAATTGTTGCTTTACGGGCAGTCTTCCAAAACAACATCAGCAATACTTCGGTGTTTGCTGACTTCTTCATGAAGCCCTTGAAGTTCTCTACCATATATCGCATGCAGAATGCTGGAAAACACGTGGAAAAACATTTTTCTATTGCTTTTGGCAGCCTTTTCTGTCGATCTCATATAATTGTAAGGCAGACAGATTAGAAAACTCATATAATAGCTCACTCAGTATACTCAAAAAACAATACCAACTCTGATAGTTCTCCTTCTCGACCACAACAAATGCCAATAAAAAGAGCTCATTATTTGCATCTATAGAAATGACACACAATAATATGCCTTGATACTTTCCTTTTAAGAATGTCCCATCAATACATGTATCCATTAACAAAAGCCATGATGCATGGATGATAAGCAATGAATAGTTGTTTGAACTTGCCTTCAGTAGTGTCGATACGAACTACGGTTCCTGGGTTGCTTATTCGAAGCTTCTCCGCATACAAGGGGAGGTCATGATATTGTTGTTCATGTGATCTATCTATCATCTCTCTAGCAACCTCTTTTCCTCGTCAAACTTGCATGTAAAAAAGCCTAACACCGTGATTGTGCGAACATCGTTTACAATGTCTTTAGCTTTAATTTTTTGTTGGTTAATAAGGCGGGCTTTAATTTTTTTGGCCACCCAATCACTACGAGCTAGTGGTTGATAGACCCTCCCTATGAGACCACTACATGTATGCTCCTTAACCATAGATTTAACTTGTCGTACTACCAACTCGTAAGCACCGCACTTGTCATGTGCATCCCTCTGCCTTACAACTTGCTCATACCCGTCTCAATTCACTTTTGTCAAATTTCAGAACAAAATTATTGTGAATTGCAAAATCTACAAGATGATACCGACATTCATTGATACTTTCAAAATATTGTCCTGAATTCAATTGAACCTCATTACCAACTCCTCTGCACGGGCTCTCTAGTGGTTCAATATCGTCTATATCACGCTCTGGTACAAGCTTAAGGTCAGGCGCCACTTGAATGTTTTCATCTTGATCAGTTAAAATGTTACGCCGACTGTTGACAAAAGATATAGTGTAAGATGAAGCAACAATAAAATTTCTATGCATAAAAGAATAAATTAAAGTAAATTACAGATGAAAAATTAAATTATAAATAAACCTACTTCTTGAAGATGGACCATCACCAATAGATTCCTGTTCTGGCTCCATTGTAGACGCAATATATACAACAATTTTTAAAGATTCCCCTCCCAACATAAAGATTTATCGACATCATCACTTACATCAATCAAATCAAGCCCACTAGGAAGACTTGTGTTGTAGTATATAATAGTTAATTTGCTTGGATCACACATTGTTAAATTACCAAAATGACTTTTGATTTCCTCCAAAGAACTATTTCCATTATACTTCGTAACCTTTAATCTTCTCCCTTTGTAAACGATACGACCGTCATCTGCATTGGTCTCAAATGACCCCCCATATCGGAATACCAGTTGCACTCCCTCAGTAACCATCGTCAATGCTATTGTATTAAATGAATAGGAAAATTTGTGTCACAATAAATTGATACAATAAAGAATACAAAAATTTTGGATATTTTTAACTACTTTAGGGTTCATAAAAAGTGAGTATTACATACCAAATTCAAATAGTGTGCTACTATAAAAAGACAAATAATTCATAAACAACAAAAATAACAAATACTCAAACAAACTCCAAATAAACAACAAATATTAACACAAACCAACAAGTTCAATAATATTTACCCAATACATTAAATACAATTTATCAACATAAAACAAACAATACATATTTATACAAAGAACAAATAATTATACAAAGAAACACGTTTAGTAATATTTTATCAAATATTACTTATTAATCAACAATACATAAAAATTACAAATATAAAAATATGATATTCTATTATACTCATTGTCACAAACTAACAAAAAACAATAAAAAACATAAGGCAAGAGTAAGAACCGTACCAATCACAACCGCGAGCCAATCTTTATTGGGAGAAAGTAAAAAGGGTATGGATCCACGTATGATACTATATTTCCCGTTTTTCCCCAACTTTATACCCTAAAAAACTTTCTTACAGTAAAAGCGCATGAAGTATTGGCGCGAACATTTTCAGTTAATCAAAAGCCGAAGTCTATAAATTTTCGGTTGTCCAAAAACTGAAATCATGTTTTCGGTTTTTGAACAACCAAAACTATAATTTCGGTTGTGAAAACAATGAATTCCACGGTTTCGGATTTTGAACAATCGAAATTAGGTTTTCGGTTGTTGAACAACCGAAATTAGGTTTTCGATTGTTGAACAACCGAAATTATATTTTCGGTTTTTCAACACCCGAATTTCGGTTGTTGAACAACCGTAACTAGAGCAGGAAGGTTAAAAGACCTATTCCCGTTTTCGATTGTTGAAAAACCAAAATTGTTTTGATTTCGGTTTTTCAACACTCGAAAATGAGTAAAATCGTCTTTTTTAAAAAATCTCGTTATGAAAGTGAAAAAACGGACATGGAGGTAATAACGGAAACTGAAAGGTGGATCTGTGATAACGCATAATATAATGAATATATACGTAATTTTCTCTAAATTTATTTATGAATTCAATTTTTATAAATTACTGTAGAAATTACAAGAACATCTTCAAATGTTCCCATATTTGCTCCAAATTATTGCAAAGCAGAGGTTGTATATCTTCAAATGTATTTTGGTTGTAATAAGCTCCATTTCAAACTTTGTATTCATATCCTTGATGATTGTAAGCTCTCTTTCTTTCAATGAAATGAATGGATGGTTAACAGACATCCAAATAGGAAAATGTTTCAGTATTCACATATTTTTACAAAAAAATGAAAGTGCATAATGCACCATTCCCATTTTTTTAGAAATAAAAAAAAAGCTATTTTTTGTTATTTTTGGAAATTTTTAAATTTTTGGGGGCTGAAACCTGCCGATCTGCCTAATTCTTAGATGATTGTCGGTCTGCCAATCTGACACAGTATTTAGAGCTGCCAATCAGGATAGCTGATCCATTTTTTCAAACCTTGGTTGTAACTATACATGCGGACATAACTATACAAAATAGTAAGTAGCTTCTATCTCTTTTATGGGTGTCGTTGGCATACAGACACCTCCGTAGGACTAGAGGTAAGGTGCCCTTCAAATTTTATCATGGTATATAATTTTGGTGTAAAATGTCATTAGGATTATCTCAAAATCTATTTTTATATCTAATTATAAAATTTTAAATTTCAAAAATAGTTAAAATCAAGTAGATCTATAAGCATATGAAAATATTGAAAATGGACGGTGTAGATAATATGTTGTAAAATGCACTATTTTCGAGACTTAAAATCTTTTTATTTTTCATAGTCATACATCTTGATGTCGAGATGATCAATCAAAGGGTTTTTAAACATTAAAACTACCTTTTACGATGGATTTTTGAGAGGCATCCGTAGTTCTACACGGTAAGGTAGCATCCTCATATAAACTTTTTCCCTCTTTTATTTGTGTTAATAAAAAAAGTATGCACATTCATGTCCTTTTATTTTCTTATTTTTTCATAAATACCCTAGTTGGTAACTCCATCTTCCCAAGTCTCCCCCAGCCCCAGCCCCACCCCGCCCCGCCCCTCCCCGCCCTACCATAATTAATGGTTATGGTAAGTTCGGGACTTCAAGATTTGGACTAACTAAATTGTGAACTATTCAGTTTGATGCTAGAAGTTTCGAACCTGTTATCAAGACAAAAGATTAAGTCTCGATGGCTCAAAGCTTGAATTTCCAAATTGATTCAAAACTTCACTTTTAGAACATCAAGGTCCGAATTAATTAGTTTATGAATTAGTTGGTTTAGATCTTGAAGCTGCAATCCGGCCACTAAATAAATAAATAAAAATATCCCATTTCAAAACGAACTTATGGTTTTGGAAAAATAGAAAACAAGAGAAAAAGAACATAAATGTAAAATATTGAACATAAAAAAAAAATTTAAATTAATAAATTGATTCAATAAACCACAAAAAAGATATTAGCTTGAAATTTCAAAAATATAATCAGACATGCATTTTCATTGCCTCAATAAAACTAGTAAGATTCTTCCTAGAAGTTCCCTCAGTAACACTATAAATGGCCTGCTCCTTGAGCTTGAGAGCCCTCTCCCTGATTGCTTGATCACCCAACAATTCCTCTACCTTGCCTCTTATCTCTTCCTTGGAGAAGAACCCATCCTTGTTACCCTCCAACTCCAACCCAACCTTCCATATATCCACTATGTAACTCTTATTAAGAAATTGGTCAACAAATTTAGGCCAACATATTAAAGGCACACCATTGCTCACCCCTTCAATAGTTGAGTTCCACCCACAATGGGTCACAAAACAAGCTATAGAAGGATGTGTCAACACTTCCCTTTGTGGGCACCACCCCACCACCTTGCCATGGACCTCCATCCTATCCAAGAACCCCTCCAGGTAGGCTACCCCTGCCTTATCGATGAGGTCCGGCCGGGCCACCCACAGGAATGGCCTGCCTAAGTTCTCAAGGGCGAGAGCGAGCTCGTGAAGTTGGCATTTGTCGAAGAGGGTGAGGCTCCCAAAGGATACATAGATGACTGAACATTCAGGTTGCTTGTTGAGCCACTCAAGACAGGTTTCATCCTCTGTCCAAAGTGAAGTTGGTTGGCCATGGTGGTTGCTTTGGAGTAGAGGACCAATTGGCAGGAGATTAGGGAATGAGTCGAAGGTTGCAGCTTCGAGTTCGTAGAAGGAGTTGCAGAGTACCCATTCTACTCCTTCAAGATTCTTCATGAATTGGCGAATGTATCTGTAAATGAACTTCTGTACCATGGTGTCACCGACACAAAGCCATGGGAAGTGACTTGGGTCGATGAGGGGTGTGTTTGGGGTGAGTTGGATCATGCTTCTGTTGTGCAATAAACCTATAATTGCAGAAATCTTGTCATCCCTGAGCATCATTCTGTTTCTTTTTCCAATATTAGGGCCTAAAAGAACCTGCTTGAGGCCATCAAGTGGACGCTTAAAGTCCAAGACATTGTTCCCTTTATATGTGTAGAAAAATTCCATATTTACAGTAAAAAATAAAATTTTTGAAATAATTCAATTGTATTTATATTATGGGATTGTATATCATGAGACCATTTATCTTTAGTACAAGGAGGTCACAATCATTTATAACCATCCGATGTGAAATCTGGTAGCTTGGATGTATTATAAAGTTCAAAACAAAATCTTTTGAACTTTGAGCACGATCAATAGAATAAATACAGCCTCCCAATTTCACATCCGATGGTCAAAATCAATTACGACAACGACGTTAAATTAAAAACAAATGGTCTCATTGTGCACTTTTCTTTATATTATTAACGCATAACTATGGTACATTATATGATTATATGCATGCATAATCGAAGAAATGCAAGACAAAAAAAAAGAAGAAAAAAAAAAGAAGCAAAAGTTGTTGAAACAGTTATAGAACTTCTTGAACGGAACATAGGTGGGAGCCATCTTATCCAAGGAAAAAAACAAAGATGAAGTTGTTCATCTTCTTGTTCTTGTCGGATATCTATTGAAGGAAAAGCTATACATGGACCCAACGGTACATTGACCAATGAAAGAAAGGTCGAAAGGCAAAAAGAATGATGACATTGTAGGTGTTCAAGGTGGTAGGGTGCCACAACATGACGTTTTGGGTTTCCTTTTTACTTGATTCACATTCAGAGTCGGCCAATTATTCATGTACTCACAAGGGTTTAGGGAGAAACAATGGAAACTATTGTCCCAGACCGCTTGATTACATTATCATACAAGGATTGTCAAACGAGAATGCCCTTAGTGGCCATTGATTCACATTGCCAAACGGTGGACGTAGTCCCCGATGAGAGACATTCACCCTGGTGCAGTGAATCTCCCACGTGGTTAGTCGGAAATATACGGTGGATGCCCCTGCGGTCCATGATATACTCCTCCCACAAATAACAAAAAATTCAGGGGATTTTTATAGCTTTTGCTATGCCCACCCAAAATAGCGATGAGAAAACAAAAAATACTCGAGGGGGTTATGATATGACCCACATGTGAGCAAAAAAATGATGATATGTTTACACTCTGATCCGCGCCGATCTCTAGGTGAGATCAACTCAAGACTCAAAATTGAGTTAAATTTATAAAAAATTAGGTGAGATCAACTCAAGACTCAAAATTGAGTTAAATTTATAAAAAAAATGGAGAAGGTGGAGTTGATAAAATTATGTGCTCAAAAATATCGCAGATCTATATATCTGATCTTTTTCTAAGTCTAGTGGCAGCGCTAACTCCAAATCTGTATTTTGAACTTTAAAAAACTTCTTAAAAATTAACTACATTTAATAATAAATAAATTTTTAGAAAAGAATAAAATAAAACAAAGAATTAATGAATAAAATAAACTAAATTAAGCAGAAAAAGAAATACTTACCTCTAAGGACCCGAAACCCGGAGTTTTGGGCTTAGATCAAGCCGTTCTTCTGATTTGTGCCACCAAATCATTTTTGGATAAATTTGCTCGCCGGTATTGGTAGATCTAACGTTCTTTTACCTAGATCTAGAGTTCCTAGGGCAGGAGAAAAACTTAGGATTTTTAAATAGGGTCTACCTAAGCTATTTTGAGTTTGGAAGCGGATTTTCTTCATTTTTTAAGCGTTTTGGGATATCCTAAGGTAAAATCTGAATTTTGGGATTTTCTAAGAATTTTAGGGATTTTTTTGGATTTTTTTAATATTCTAAAAATTTCGTAAAGTTCTTTTTTTTCAATTTCGGATATTTTTGGGGTATTTTCCCTAATTTAGGGATTTTTCTCGTATTTTCTAAGGATTTTTGCATCTCGTAACTTTTTGAATGAATATAGAGGGGGTATGTATAGGCTTGAACTAAATATTTTTCTTAATTTTTTTGGATTTTTTTTTTTCAGATTTTTCCTCATTTATCTGATTTTTATTTGAATTATCCAAATTAAAGCTCCATTTTCTGTGCCATCGGACCACACATGGGTCCACCGGGCTGCATGACGCATCACGCGCAACACATGTCCAGCTTAAAGGGACTAAATTGTCATTCTATCAAATAATTTCCCCCAGGTTTTAACTTTATAATTATAAGTCTGTTAGAAAGCTTATGACCTCTTCTATAATTTGAAACCAAATTTGGTTAAATTTGAGATATTTTAAGGGAGATTACAAGGCTAGAACTTTAAGGTCTTAATTTCAGGTTTTTGGATGTTTGATCAGTGTTCGGGTCAGTTTTATGGGTTTACAAGCTCATGGGTGTCTAAGGTGACTATGTGAAAGTACTAGGATATATTTTGGGTAGTTTCGAGATAATTCTACTGAGTTTGGGTTAGCTATAGTCTATTAGGGTTTGTATGGTCCTTTGAACTTAGAATCAAGGTTTTTAGGAATCTCCTCAGCCAGAATTTCAAAGACGATGACTGCAACCATGCAATCAACTAGTTGGATGGTGATGGAGAGAGAAAGAAAGGTCCATCACCGTCCACACCACTAATGGGAACATGATGTTTCATGGGGCTGCAAGGACCATACGGATCGTGTTAATCGGGCCTAATATTTAGTGGCTAGAATTTCAATTCCCCTCCCATGAACATAGGTGCATATCAGTACTTGCAAACAAGTTAGGTCAAGGGCCTGAATCCACCACTAACTGACCCGAGCTGACACTCCAACATGGCCAAATCTCTAGGTAAAATACAAGAGGGACCAGTGTTGAAGACCACTACTAAGGCGAGTACTCGGCCCCTGTCTGATATGAATACTCGGTCCGAGTAATGCTGAGTATTGTAAAAATAAAAAATTCATAAAAACAAAAAGTATTTGAAAGTAAGATTATGCAAAACATTTCAAAATGAGGTTACAAAAGCAATAAAAAAATATATTTTTTAAAAAACAACTTGTGAGTTGGAATATCGGTGAAATAATGCAAAAAAGATGGCAAAATATAAAAATAAGTATTTATGGCCAAAACACTTTCCAATATTTGCCAAAAATGCCATAAACATATCACAAATAAATTTTTTATTTTTTGGGATTTTATAGTTTTAAAATTTTTGAATATCCCGAGTGGGACACCCAACTCAGGGTAACTCAGCTTGCTAGGGTGACGAGCCCAAGTACTCAGCCCGATCAGCACTGGGACCGAGTAGTCAAACACTGCTAGGGACTAGGACTCAATAAGACTAGTTTGAGTTTCAGTGCTTTTCATTCAGACCCAATGCTCTGCCAAATAATTTTGGCAAGTCTGAACTTGGGTCACCGATTTTTTAAAAACAATAGCAAAATCAGGATATTGAGTCAATCCCCCTAGAGAAAGGAAAAAAGAGCACACACCGTTTTCATCTAAGACCCCATTTCGGACCAGCTCTGGGAGCTTGAGCTGCACTGTCAGGCACCCAGCAGCCGCAGCCCAGAATGCGGTTCGAGCAATGCCGAGCCTCTTGGCTACGTCCAGTGCCCACCCCATGTTCACATCAGCCACTACACAGTGTAGCTCAAGCCCTTGTACATTTGTGATGTCATCTATGAGCTTTTCCAGTGCATGGGGCATCGAGCTTAGCATGGACTCCCAGAGTTGAATGAGTTGGTTCCGGTCTGCACCAGGCTCAAGCCCATCTGGTATGGAGACTAGCCGGATGGGTCCGGTGCCATTGCCTGGCTGATCTTGGGGATGGCCATTTGCGGCTTCCAGAATACGCTTGTGGAAGTAATCGGTGTTGACGAATGTGACGGCGAAGCCATGCTCGACCATGCGGCGCGAGAACTCCATCATGGGTATAATGTGGCCTTGGGCCGGGTAGCTGATGACCAGAGCATGAGGCTTGCCCATCTCTCTCTCCTTTGATGTGTGTGAGTATAGTGTTTGATATCTCTCTGCAGAAACCCTCTCTCTCTACCAATCTACATAGCATTCTATCTAAATACTTTTTTGTTATTGTTTTATAAGAAATACAATGGATATGATTTTAAGAGCCAAATAAATATTTGAAAGATTCCAAAGCCGGATGATAACAACGAAGTTCAGTGAGTAGATTCAAAGCCGGATGACAACATGGAAGTTTAGTAAGTAGATTCATGGAAAAGGACAAGAGTAAGAAAACTAGACAAACATCGTTACTCATTCCACCCAGCCATACACTAAAGCCAAATGATTATATACTCCCAGAGGAGCATATCTTTTATTTATTAATTTATTTTTATATTTATTTTATCTTTTTTTTTTTTTGATGATATGTTAAGAGTGAGAACGAAGAGTGGGACGTTATGTATATCTTTCATTCACTTCTTGTGTAGGTAAAATTTAGAGACCCAGATTTTAGGAACGTAAACCTTAGTGACGGATCTTAGAAAAAAGAGGAAATGAAAAATAAAAAGAAAAGAATATTAAAGAAACTATATTAGCCTAAAAGGCGTATTTTACAAAGAGACCAATCATCTTTTGTACACGGAGGTCGCAATCATTCTTGTTACTTAAATTTCAAAATGGGTGGTGGTAAGTGTGCCGTTTAACAGACAAAAAGCTCCAAAAAAAAAAAATTTCTCGGACTTTGTGACTTACCCCAAACCATCCAATACATATAATGAGTAGAAATAATTGTGACCTCCATGTACAAAAGATAAATGGTAGACAAATCTTATATAATCATATCCTAAAATCGAAAAAATTTTTAAATTTCCAAACTCTTACTTAAAAACTCAACATATTTTGTTCTTTCCTTTTATATCAGTACACATATAGTGATTTACAGTGGATCCCTCCACTTCTTTTCCTCGAGGGAATAAGTCTTTAGTTTGATCCCGCAAGAGTTTGCTATAACATCTCAAGACAGTTTAATGTGCACGGCTCTGCACAAGAGACAAGGGCATTTAGGCGTTGGAATATCCGATGTGCCTACAAAGTTACAATGCTCTTTAGTCTTCTACCCATTGGCTTTACCTTTCATTAGGGCTATATATCATTCTTTTGAGCACTCCAAGTGCATAGAAAAGGGAAATTTTGGCTCCTAAGACATATGAAACCCAACAATACCCTAGAGACATAAATTGTATTCCCCCTTACACAGACAAAGAGGGAGAAAGACTTAACACTTCCATTTGCATATACACAAAGGAAGGGTGAGAGAGAGAGAGAATAATATCATTTTTACATGCACACACAGGTGAGAGAAAGAAAGGGTGTGCTTTCAACTTGGGTTGCGGTTTGCATAAAGCATCAATCTTTATTTGTAGAAGTAAGATTGTAGCGTTTTACATCACCATCTGTTTCAAAAAAGAAAAAAAATAAAATAAAATAAAATAAATTTAAGGGAGATACTAACACTACCATCTACATACACAAAGTTGTGCGCGTGTACGGGTTGACTGAGAGAGAATCCAAAGCCATGGGTGTGCCACATGCACTAGTGATCCCCTACCCAGCACAAGGGCACGTCATACCGATGATGCAGCTCTCGCGCCGCATGGTCGAACACGGCTTCATTGTCACCTTCGTCAACACTGACTTCAACCACAAGCGCGTGCTTGAAGCTGCCTTGAAAGCCCATTCCCAAAGCCATCCCAACAAAGGCACCGGACCCATCAGACTTGTGTCCATACCAGATGGTCTCAAACCCGATGCAGACCGCAACCAACTTGGTGTGCGAGTCCATAATAAGCTCAATGCCTAATGCACTAGAAACGCTCATAAAGGAGATCAATGGCTTAGAAGGGGATAGTGTCACATGCGTCGTGGCTGATGTGAGCACGGGGTGGGCACTTGATGTCGCCAAGAAGCTCGGCATACCAAGGGCAGCATTCTAGCCGGCGGCTGCGGGGTGCTTCACAGTGTTTCTCAGGTTGCAGGAATTGATCCAAAAAGGAGTGATTACCTAAGAGGGTGATTTTTCTCCTCCCTTTTTCTTTTCATTTTGTCCTTCACTTCTCTTTTTTTCTTACTCGTGACTTCTCCTCAATAGCCATTTACCAAATATTGGTCACTTAACGTTAATAGATATTATAGGAGCGGAACATATACAATACGACCATTTCCTTTCTATGCAAGAAGGTCACAATCACCGTTAGTTATAAACTGTGAAATTGGACAGCTGAGGGTGTGCATTGGACAACACAAAGTCCGAGAAAATTTCTCTTGATCTTTGTGCAGAGATATGACACACCTCTAGCTACCCTGTTTGCAAGGAATAATTGTGACATTCTTTTACCATAGGTAATTCCCGCCCCCCCCCCCCCAAAAAAAAAAACAAAAAAGATGGTGATCTATCGACGTAATCCAGGATTATGAAAGTTATAGTATAGAGGAGTGATTACCTGAATACTGGTCTTAAATGGTTCCCACTAGCCAATGCATTTCTAGGTGTGGGAATCAATTAGAATTTAAAAAAAAAGTAGAAAAATTTGGTTTTAAAACCAGATAATATCATATTAACATGTCCTTTTTGTAAGTCAGCTGCAGGATTTGAACTCAAGACAGAGAATTGCAATCATCAGCACCCTTAGGAACCCTAAAGGCATATATAGACTGATGTACTTTTTGGTTTGAATTAACAATGGATCACAAGAAATTATAGCAAAAATGAAATTTTACCTGCCCGATTCTGATCAAGAGTGACCTCAAGCATTCATTCCCATGGATGGTCGAACAAAAAAGATGAGGGAGTGAGCGTTGTGTTCAAGCAACTACAGGGATGTACTCCACTCCTCGATTGGACCGCCCATGGAAATGGACGATCTAGATGAGCTGATTTCATAAAAAGTCATTCAAGCTGGACTGTTGTATTTGTTTCACCTATGACAACGGGAATAGGAAGTATGTAGTATGATTTATGAGGTCATGATAACAATATGACTCTGTGGGTTATCACCATCCAATCAAATAGGTTGCACAGTCATGGAGGGAGAGTGAGACATACAGATGACTAAATGACCTGTTTTGTGGGACCTTAACTTGTTCCATCACCGCCCAACCCATTGACCGAGACAGTGATAACCGCCAGGTCTTATTGTTATCATGAACATATCGATCATGGGCCTGTATGAAATGTGTCAAGACAACAACTCACAGCATCAGTGTCGATATGATTCACAACTTCACAAGACAAATGAGGGGAAAATTTTTATCAAGATACGGATCATCTCCATCATTGGTCATAAGCCTCCTAAGATAGTAATGTTATCACTCACATTTTTTGTAGGACTGGGTTTCATATGAGCATTCCTCAAGAGGCCGATATCTGATACAAGCAAATAACATTTGTAATAGTATTTTAAGTACAGTAATTGGTCAGTTTCATTGTGACAGGTGAATTGCTGGACACCCATATGGTCCAATTCTCTCCAAAGATGCCCCTCATGGACCCCAGACACTTCGCATGGCTCTGTATCGGCGATACTGCTGAAAACAAGGCCATCTTTCGACACTCAAATGTGTGCATTAAGGGCCTCGAAGGTGTAGAATGGCTCATATGCAACTCATTCTATGAAATCGAATCGCCTACCTATGACACCTTCCCGAACATCCGCCCAATCGGTCCACTTGTTATAGGTAGCCAGCCTACAGAAACAAAACCAACTTCTTTTTGAACAGAGGATAAGACGTCTCGAGTGGCTCGACCAGCAACTTAACAATTCAGTCATATACATATCATTCGGAAGTTTCACGATCTTCAATGAGCGCCAATTTCTCGAGCTTGCGCTTGCACTGGAGAACTTGGGTAGGCCATTCCTATAGGTACCTCGCCCTGACCATGTTGAGAAGTCTGGAACGGGTTACCCTGAGGGGTTCTTTGGTAGGGTGGCTGCCTACGGGAAGGTCGTGGGTTGGTGCCCACAAAAGAAGGTGTTGGCACATCCTTCTATAGCTTGTTTTGTGACCCACTGTGGTTGGAACTCGACTCTTGAGGGGCTTAACAATGGTGTGCCTTTCATATGTTGGCCTTATTTCGCGGACCAGTTCTTGAACCAGACTTACATTGTGGATATATGGAAGGTTGGGGTGGGGTTGAAGGCGAATGAGGATGGGATATTCTCCAAGGAAGAGATAAAGAGCAAAGTAGAGGAAATGCTGGGTGATGAAGGAATAAGAGAGAGAATACTGAAACTCAAGGAGGAAGCCATTAGTAGTGTCACTGAGGGATCTTCAGTGGAGAATCTCCTTGGTTTTATGGAAGCCATGAAAGGAAAATCATAATGTAGGGAACCTCTCTCTTGGAGAACTGGATGCCCCATTATCGAGAATCCTGTAATTGATATCATTACATAATTCATGTAAAGCTTTTGCAAAAGAGACAGATTATGTCCGCGAAATAGCAGATCTAGATTAGAAACAGATCAATAGATCATCCGAACACGTTTGTTTGTTTTCTGTTGTCATGAATGAAAAGAAAAAAGCCTTGCCAATTCCTTATGCCAATCCTTCTACTCATTCGTTCATTTAAGATTCTCCATTTAATTAAATTGAAATTGCTTTCAATACATGTTTAGGTTGGTAGGCAAGGTTTTAACAAAAATATCGATGACCTGATCGTCCCTTTGGATTTACGATCCGGTTCGGTGGATCAGCGATCCGGTCTACCAAACTTAAAATTTTAAAAATTAAGTGAGGCTAGTTCTCTGATAGAATGGCCGGTTATTACAGGAACCAAATAGAACTGGCAAAAATCGGCCCTTGCCGTATGTTTTTAGTCATTTAAAAAAAAGTAAAAACAATTAGTGGGGCCAATTTTGACTGATTCTACAACAAAACCGTCCGATTTGTCAAAAAAACCGGCCAGTTCATTGGGGGAACCAGCATATTTTACAGGATTCGGTACGACTTGATTGATTCCAGATACG